CCTGCCCCCTTTATGATGGTTAAGTCACGACCTTGAGATTCTCAAATGAAGTTTAATTGTTTTTGAAGCTGGTCGTGCTGCTGCATCATTTAAAAGCAGAAACAGAAGGTATGGAAGTCAAGGTTCCCCTCTGGTGGCTAGAACTAGAAAAGCAAGAGAAGTCTTGCTTGTGGATGGATGGGAGAATGTTTGGTGTATTGACCTACAGATTCAATACGGCTTTATCCAGTGCCATCAGAACTCATTCAAGGAATGCTGGGAATTGAAGTTTTGAGAGTTTTCCAAGAGCTACTTATTTGTGATGCTTAAGCCATTCTTGGAAAGGGATGTCTTGGGATTTATTTATTTATTTATTTATTTATTTATTTATTAAAACATTTTTATGCCGCCCCATTCGCCGAAGCCTTGGGGCGGCTTACAACAATAATGGTTGGAAGCCATGATCGAAAGTGGTTAAGCAGAACCAGGTCATTAAATAAGTCCTGAGAAGCTGGACTGAGGAGCAAAAGCAGACTCCTGATTTATTCATATAGACACAGAAAGCGAGAGAAAGCTTCTCCTTCAGTGTATTTACAGGTAACTCACTTTGGCAGATCCAAGAAATGAACACCACTGCGCAGCAACAAATGCATCTCTCATCCACTGAAATCACTGCAGCACTAAATCCACAAAAACTCTGTTTTGTAAAGGGATCTTTGCCTAGCAGAAGAGCTGACCTCTGCCCTTGAAGACGGTCCGGATACTTCAGTTGGTTCAAAATAGAGCTGCCAGGCTGCTGATGGGGACTGGGCATTATGTTCACTTGACTCCAGTCCTCCGTCAGTTTCACTGGCTCCCCATTGATGTTCAGACCCAATTCAAGGTGTTGATTATCACCTATAAAGCCCTTAATGACTTGGAACCTTGTTACCTTAAGGAGTGCTTACGTCCATACATGCCTTCCTGCCCCTTGAGATCGGTGGCAGAGGCCCTCCTCCGGGAACCCTCCGTAAAGGATATTAGGAGGGTAAGTACTCGGAGGAGGGTTTTCTCTGCAGTGGCGCCCAACCTATGGAATGCGCTCCCCAGAGAGGTCTTCCTGGTGCTGTCGTTATTTGCTTTTCGGCACCAGTCTAAGACATTTTTATTTAAATGTCATTTTAATTGTTAATATTATTTATTGCTTTTACATCTTTGGCCAGGAAATCTCCAATTAAATTGTTTTTATATTGATATTATGTTATTTATTGTTGTGAGCCGCCCCGAGGCTTCAGCAAATGGGGTGGCATAGAAGCTTCCTAAATAAATAAATAAATAAATAAATAAATAAATAAATAAATAAATAAATAAAATGTGAGGAGATTTGAGGGGTGGGGTGCAGCAGGGATGGCAGCAAAGGTATGCATGGTCGGACACCTGCCAGTCACCTGTGCCCCGTCACCTGTGCCCTCCTCTGCTTGTACCTGCTCAGACCCTTAGGATTGTCCAGTGCCCTTCTTCTGGATGCCCCTGCCTGAGGAAGCTGGGCAGGTGGCTACAAAACAGAGAGAGAGACTTCTCAGGTTATCTGACTCTTACTTGGTTATCTTCTGGACAATAGGCAGGGGCCTTTCTTTTCTCCCTGGCATTTTAGAGACCACTTTCTAGGTTTTTATCAATTCTTATGGAGGTTATCATTTGACAGTATGGTGTATTTTAGTCTTTCAATCTTTGTTTCATACTTATATAGATAATCATATTTTCCAGTGGCCTTTTCTTGGAAGACCATGGAAGTCCTCTTCAGGTTCTGAAGTAGAAGAGGAAGAGGAGGAGGAAGGGCAAGAACTGTGGGGGTGAACCCTTTGAAGCTCCTTCAAGCTTGCCTAGTGAAGTTTCTCAGACTGAGCATGAGAGCCAGAAGGCTTTCCAAGAGAGGAGAGTCTTTCAGCTGGTGGGTCTCCATCTTGTTCTCTTTCCAGCCTTAGAGAAAGGGTGAGACCAAGGAGATATTTCCAGTTTGAATCTGGCTGTTTACATCAGCACAGCCTTCTTCCACCTTTGGGGAAAGGCTATTTAGAGTGTTAAAACCCTTTAAAAAAACACAAAAAAACCTTTTCTGTCGTCTGTGGTGTTACAGTCAAAAAACTGAATTTCAAAGGATTGTCTGGAGTTTGGAAACCCAAGGAAGGGTCTTACTCACAACGCAAGGGTCCAGCCCAACCCCAAGTTTAACTATATTCAGAATTGGGGGAATCTTCTCATTCCCAAATCATTTCATGTAAAGAACAACACCTTGTTGATAATAAAGCATTTATTTATTTATTTATTTATTTATTTATGAAATATAACCAAGAGTGCTGATTGGTTAGACTGTATACTCTCTGAAATAGAGTAATTAAGTAATAGAGTAATTGATGGATCAATTACTCTATTTCAGATTGATTAATTAATTGATCTATTAATGCAAAATCGATCTATTAATGCAGAAAGGGTCTAGGCATGGACAGAGAAGCAGATACCCAAATGAACATTTCAAGGAGGGAATGCACATTGCAAAAAGGCAAAGCCATGGGAAACCTTCCACAATGCAACCAGCAGGATGAATGGGTGGGAGAACAGATTGTGTGGTAACCATCCACAAAGCATGGGAACCTTCCATGAATCATGGAAACCATCCACGAAGTATGGAAACCATCCATTAATCATGGAAACTACCCAACCTACCTTACCAACGCATGCAAGCCCACCCTATGTAAGATCAGAACATACTAGTCTGAATAGTCATCACTCCTCAGTTGGAGCTGACTTACTCCAAGAAGTCCATGCTGTTTGTATAGGAAGATGAGGGAGACCTATCCAGAGAACTGCTGTGGGGAGGGGAGGGGAGGAAAGAAGCAAGGAAGGAAGGAAGAGAGGAAGAGAGGAAGAGAAAAGGGATTTCCCAAAGCAAGAGGATTCTTCCAGGCTCATTTATTGGAAGCAAACAAGATCGGCTGGGTCTCTCTTTTCATGTTCTGGTGATATCTATAAAGATTGATTTCTGCTTAGTAGTGAAACTATAGTGCAAAATTACAGCTTGTCCTTCTTGACCTTCTTTCTGGTTTCCACACAGTGACTGGAACACTAAATCCATTAGCAAGATTTCTGCAAAACAGATACTTGGAGAAGAAGGCGAAGGCTAAGGAGAAGGAGAGAGACTATACTTGCTGGCTGGCTGGATAGCTGACTGAGTCGTTTGCTTACTTTCTTTCATGAGTACCAACATCCTTCCCTGTTTTTGTACATGAAGCAATGCACTGTTGCATCATTGTGGCCCTCAGAGCACAGAAATACACGGCGATGTCCCAAGGAGAAACCTTCCGAATCTCCAAATTCACTGTCTTCTTTTCAACATCCAATTTTCCTGAATATTTTTCACTTGGACCTGGAGGAGAATACCGTGCTATTGTCCAAATATGCTCTGGAGCTTGATTGGGATATTGGCGATACCAAAAGAGGTAAGGGTCTATAGATGATGTGCTGAAATTGCAGGACAAGTTTGCATCTTGTCCTTCTACAAAGGGCATCTCAGAAAGCAGCTGGGACACAGAGTCACTTTGAGCCATCCCTACAAAAGAAGGAAATGAGATTAATTCTCGTTGATCATTCAGTACTTCTCTCTTCTTGTCCCATTCAAAACATCTACCTCATTTCTATCAGCAACTTCCAAAGTGCACTAAAACGTTGAACAGTCTGTCAGCTGGCATTGGGTTGGAGCCAGTACTAGCGGATACTGTGTGAGTGGGTGGGAAGGGGACTCTGTAATGTCACAAGAGTGATGCTGAAGCCACCACATGGTTCTCAAAGTCCCATCCAATGTGAACAAGTTCAATCCAAGCTAATTGTTGGTAGTACTCTTCCCATATGACTCTCCCATTAGAAAAACTAGAGGAGGACATGAATGGATTCCAGCATCTCACAGTTCCCTGTGCCCCCAGCCCAACTCTGTAGCATCAGGAGATCCTCCAGAAAAGTAGGGGACTGCAGAGGAAAGGTGGAATCTGTGACAAGTCCCTGCTTGTCTTCCTCTGGCAAAAACACCCCCTAATTCATTATCCTTTCCACATACCGGAGCTGCTCCATTCCTGGAAGGCCAAGTCTGGATCCAACCCAATATGCTTTTTGCCACTGGCTTCTAGGTTTAAAAAACGTCCCACTCCATGAATGGTGAAGACCACAACCATGAGCACATGCCATGAGGGTCATGTCTTCATGAGAATCCCATTCAAACATTCTAGTGCATGATGTGCACTCAATAGAAACATTACCTGATCCCGGGAGCAGAAGGTACAGTCCCAGAATGGCCAAGTACTGGACCAGCATCTTTGACATGATTGACTGTCTGGATCAACTTCAAATGAAGCTGCTTCTCTTCTCTTTACTTTCTGGTGTTTGAGAAGACTGCAGTGGGGGCAAAAGTGTTCATTCTGTGGTCTGCCTCCTCTGCTTCCTGCCCCTTTATGATGCTCCTCCATCGCTCTGAGGCACCAACTCTGGTTTTTTGAATGAAGTCTTGTTCTTTCTGTTAAAAGCAGAAGGTGTGAAGGTCTAGACTCCCCTCTAGTGGAATGAAATATTAAAATCAGAGGAAGTTGGTGAAAGCAAGTCATTCGGGGCGTGTCTGTCTATAAGATTTGAACTGTTTTCACCCAAATTAGAGGGTACCCAAAGAATTTTGGGAATGGTAGTTCTATAAGGGCACTGATCCTTATTTGTTAGATGTGCTTAAGCCTTTCTTGGAAAGGGACATTCAAAGATTTGCTGGCTGAAAGGCAGGATACATATATACAATTTAAACTGGTTTGGATTGACCTAGATAATGTCTACAATGAACAAATTGAAATTGCAAAATAATTCACATACCATGGTTTGGTCATCAATTCAAATCAAGACTGTGGCTGAGAAGATGGAAGAAGAGTGACATTTGGAAGAGCAACAATGATGGAACTAGGCAAGATAATCAAATGCAGTGATGTTTCATGGGAGGCCTAGACCAAGATTCGTCACACTATTGTATCTGCGATCAGTGTGTACGGGTGTGAAAGCTGGAAGTGAAGAAAGCAGACAGGAAGAAAATGGACGTGTTCCAGATACGCTGCTCAAGGACAGCTTTGTGAATACCCTGAACTTATAGAAAGATGAACAAGTGGGGCCTAGATCAAATCCAGACAGATCTTGATTTGAAGCAAAAATGACAAAACTGAAGCTGCCATACCTTAGGCATATCCTGAAAAGACAAGATTCCCTGGAGAAGACAACCATCCTAGGGAAAGTCAAAGTCAGAAACAAGGGAAGTCCAAAATTGAGGCGGATCAACTCCGTACAGGAAGCCACAGTCTTGAGTTTAGAGGAGCTCATGAGGATTTTGATTTTGATTGTGTTTGGGTTTGATGAATAATTAGATGTCCAGCAGCCACCTAGATGCTATCAAAGATAAAATTCCAGTTGCAAGCTGTCTGTATGAAAAGACCTCCCCCGGTTGCCATTTGATTTATTGAATTATTTGCAGTATTTTTCTTCCATTGCTCCACCAAAACTTTCAGGACTACAGTCTAAGAAGGCACACCACACAGGACAAAGAGGATGGAAAGAGTCATTCAACAGGAATGGTGGAATGGCTTAACTTCTCCCTCTTATCTCAAGATGTACCTGTGCAAGTAACAGGACAACCTAGAGGAGCATGACCCACGAAACCCAGTGAACAAGCTGGGTGCTATGGAACAAGGGGTAACCTCAGGTGTGAATGGGCATAAGATGTTGAACGTTCTGGTTGTGAGGAGGAGGCCAAACTGTCCAACTTTTTCATCCCTATGAGTCCTCAAAGAAGCCCAGCCCTTTTCGAAGTGGAAGCTATGTAGGTAGCCAAATCCAGCCTAGGTTGACTTCCAACCAAGTCTCCCTGGCTCTTCTAGGTCTTACTTTCAGGTAAATGTGCACAGAACGGCAGCTTGGATCACTGAATATATTGTGAGCGAGGTTGCAATAGTCTGTACTGTTCCCTAGCATGTTTTTGCTTGCCTTCCCTTCTAGCCTGCCTCACTGTGTTACTCCCAGCGCAGAAATAGATTGCAGTATCATCCAACCGGCTACCGGCTTTCTCCATGTTGAAGCTTTTGTGCTTTGCATCCTTTGTGGCACTGAAGTCTCGAATACGCCCCTCATCGGAGGGGTCATCTCCCAAATGCCTCAAAAAAAGCCGGGGAGTCTGGCCAGGTAACAGAATGTACCAGAAGAGGTAGTCAACAGATGAATCGTACGTACAGTTGATAAGGATGGGCTTGCCTTCCACAACAGTCACCTTGTCATCAGGCTGGGTTACTGGTAGCCCATCACTAGCTCCTGGGGAGAAGATAATGGCAGAAGAGATGATATTTAGGTGGACATGAGACCAAACCAAGGGTCAGCTGCAGATCTGTTGAGTTCCTCATTTCTGGAAAATCAGCTCTCTTTTAAAACACTGTCTAACATTCAAGGGCGAAATCTACTCCACCCCAACACTTGTTGGGGTTTGGCCACTCTGGGCATGTGTACTGAGTAAGACTAACAGATACACTTAAAAATGGGCTTTCCTCTTTTGGGGCTGCAAGTCTGAATTTAGGGCTGTTCTTTGGAAGGAGATGTTATTTTTACATGCAAATATGAACCCCCACCTGGCTGAGGAGGACACTGAATTTTAAAAGGCCACTCTTCCATTTTAAATTGGCATCAATGCTATACACACAAATAGCAAGAGCTAAAGGGTCTTTCCATCTATTGAGCAGAGAATACCAATAGATTCAGTCCCAGTTTACAGACGTAAGGGAAGTTGGAATATGCCAAAGATGGTAAAATCCACTTCAGGCAGAGGAACTCAGATTTGAGTTCTTCTCCGTATAAACTTAAACTCTTTGCCAAGGATGATGCAGAGTTCTTTGCCCTCCCTAGTACAGCAGGGATGTGTTTCCATCTGCCGGGGTGTTTAGTGCTGAAATTGCATATGTCATCTTCAGCATGATGTGGTACAGTACAGCTACCAGCTCTGGACTATACCAATTTATCCTGCACAAGTTTAGACTAGGCAAATCCAAGGAAGCCCCAAACATACAGGAGAAAGAATCTTAGCTGCAGGAGTGTCTATGAGAGAGCCAGTGTGGTGTAGTGGTTAAGAGCAGGGGACTGGGACTCAGACGACCTGGTTTGAGTCCCCGCTCAGCCATGGAGCCAACTGGGTGGCTTTGGGCCAGTCACAGCCTCTCAGCCCAACCTACCTCACAGGGTTGTTGTGGGGATAGGATGGAGGAGGAGAATGATGTAAGCTGCCTTGAGCCCTTTGTAGGAAAAAGGCAGGATATAAATCAAACAATAAATAAATAAATATGAAGCAAACAGAAGGCAGAGAAGAGCAGAAGGAATTAGTCCTCCATTTAGAATTATTTTATAATGAAAAGTGGATAATGTGCTTAATGAATAAATGAAGCACTTACTTAAGACTGCTGTGATGAGCATCGATAAGGTACAAAGGAGAGGCATAGTTCGTGCTGATGAAGCAGGACGGAGTCGGAAAGACCCTCGTTTGGATCGGCTTCTAGGCTTTGCGCTGTGCTGTGTGGCAAGATCTTGATGGGGCACCTCTTGGCAAGCAGCTCCAATAGTTTGTTTTCAGAGAAACTCAGATGTGAGGCATGGTAGACCACAGGATGTGGTGAACTTCTGACAGGACTTTTTTTGTTCTGCTGCATGTGAGAGGAGCTGGCTCAAGTTCTCCCCCTTGTGTCGGAAAGCCACACGGCAACCTCAGAGGCAAGGCAGTAGCTGATTCCCCTGCACCCCAAGACAGACAGACAGACAGACAGACAGACAGACAGACAGACGCCTGAGGTAGGCCAGTTCCCGAATTGCCACCACTAAATGCCACCAACAGGAATTATTTTATTGTATCCAGAGCTACTGTTAAGCGAATGAGATAGATAGGTATAGATAATGAAAGGGAGAGAGAAGGGGAGAGGGAGCTGAGGGTTAGACTAGACTAACCCCTTCTGACTCGCTCTGTTTCTATGTTTCTATTATTTTCAGCACTACTTTAAGACTTGTCATTACTACCAGGCATTTGATGGCATATGAGATGTTTTGTTTTCATTTTTTTTGCTTTCTTATTCAGCCTGGGATTTTACACCTGAGCGGCTTGTAAAGATTAGCTTCAACAATAATGGTACATTTGCTAAGAAGTGGTGTGTTGAAGCATAGGAGGAGTTCTGCACTCAGTCACTGGGTGGCTTTTTGCCCTGCTAGGCATGCCAATCATTTCACTGTGGCACTCAGAGCACAGAAGTAGACGGCTGAGTCTTCCAGCTCTGCAGACAGCTTGCTCAAACGGAAAGTCTTTTCCTTCTTGTCCTGCACCGCTGAAAAGCCCTTCTGCCGCTTTTTGGTTGCCTCATCTTGACCATCAATGCTGGAGAATAAGAGCTGAGGAGCACCATGTGAACGTTGCTCATACCACAGAAGTGTGGGGGCATAAGAGCTGTCATATCTGCATGGCAGTATAACTTTCTGCCCCACTTGAGTAGGAACAGCAGCTTCTGGCTGGGTGATGGTGTCTCCATGGACCTTTTCTACAAAAACAGAAAAGCAAAGAAATGGAACTTGGTTGCTGAATTTGGAAGAGCATCTCCAAGGATCCTAAGTGATGTCAGGAACCCTAAGAAATAGAGAGAGCACCCGAAGACCCTTTGATAAAAATGTTGAATGTGTCTTCGGTTGGAAGAGGAGAGGGGGGAAAGTGGCACTTTGGAACATGGAGGCCCACTGTGACCCTCACTGCTGCCACTCCCCTCGAGTTGCCCTCCAACCCATTAACAGAAGGATGAGCTGGCTGTAACAGTTCCAACACAACAGCTCTTGATAACAGCTGTGGAAGTTCTGCCGTGTGTGACACGAAAGATACTTCTATTGCACAAATGTAAACATCAAGAGGATCTTATATTCTACTCATTACTCAGGTTGGACTTGGACCACCTAAGGCCACATCCTGTTAGTCATGTGGTCCTTTGCATGGAAATCTCTTGCATTGTGAGAGTTTTCTTGAAATGCTTCTTCCAACAAAAAGTGGAAGCTTTGTTGTCAGGATCTGGGACACGCTTAAACCAGGGTGTGGGGCACAGCCTAAACCTCATTCAACCTGAAGGCCAAGATCCATTCCTGAGACATTCCTGGAGGCTTCCTTCAGTGGTAGACAAAAGTGACTGGAGCAAACATGTCAGTGTATTATCGCTTAAAACTCTTCACTGCCAGCAACATCATCTTAGGAAAGGTAGTTCAGCCCTTTAGAAAGAGGAAGATTGTCCAAAAGCTCAGAAATTACAAAACCATCAGTGGCTGCTGACCATCCAGGGGGAGGGAGGGAGAGAGGGTGGTAGAGAGAGAGAGCCATTACAATGTCTACAAGATGTTTGAGGGTTAGCACACAAGTAAAAAGATAGAAGAAGCAATCTTAGAAGGAAAGCAAAGTACTGAGCATGTGGCATGAACATAAAATTAGGATGGTCAATTTAAAAATTAGGAAGAGTCCTGGAGCTCTGCCAAAAAGCAAAGTTCAGCATTCTGTTTCCCACCATGGCCAGTCAGATACTTTGAGAAGCCACCAAGCAAGACCTGAAGATCTTCCATTGTTCATCCTCAGCAATGGGATTTCTTCTGGTTATTGTCTTCTTTGTTGTTGTTTTGCAACGCGGACAAAGAAAGATGTTTGGAAAGAACTGTGGCTTACTTGAAGTGAATGCCAACAGCAGAAGGAATGCTGTTGCACAATCCATGGTGAAGACGTTCTCTAGATCAATGCCGATAGAGTGGAATTGGATTAAAAATGATCTGCTCACTTGCTCCTCAAGGTCTCCACCTCCCAAGCTGGTTGAGTGAAATTTGAGAGAGCAGAGTGACTTCGTTGAGGTTTCCCTTCTTCCTCCTGACATCAGTTGAACCATGTGTGGTTTTTAGCTCCTTTTGGTGGAGCACTTTGATGGCATTAACTTTGCATGAGCGCTTGGGCATGGATGAAGTCCATGCTTTTGATGGCAAGCCAGAACCGCAGGAGGAGCAAATTTAAATCTGTGCTAATGCAAATGAGACAGGAGCCTGATCTGAACAGTGGGACAATGAATGCCCCAACCAGCCTGTAAAAAATAAAATCCTACAGTTGCAATTTTGCGAGGAACCCTCATCCACGTATTTACAAGCGTATTGCAAATCTTGAGATCCTGGCTTGCATCATGAGGACTGGCAGAATGGTTCCCCAGATTTGTCCCGGTGCTCATCTCAGTCTCCCTGCACTACTTTTTGTATGAGGGAAGAGTCAAGTATGACTCACTGTGGGGCTCAGACCACAAAAGTATTTGGCCTCATCCTGGAGAGAGACATCTTCGATTGTCAGAGGAACAGTCTTATTTTCAAGGAACAAAACAGTTGAAAGCTTTCCCTGAACAAATTGATTGTTTGAGGCAGAAATTTTGTAGGCACGGATGACCGGTTGAGGTGTTGTGTCAGCATATTGACGGTACCAAAAAAGGTTCGGATTGCTGTCCAGTGTGGTGAAATTGCAGCGCAAGGTTACAGTCCCTCCCTCTTGGATTTCCATCTGGCTCGGTGACTGGAACACTAAATCTCTTTGAGACATTCCTACAAAACGGAGAATTCAATTGATAATAAAGTCTTCCCTTCCTTCCTTTCTTTCCTAAAGCCCAGCAACATTCAGTAGCATTCCAAAGAAAAAGGTTCTTGGACTTGAAAGAAGAGATGAACGGACTTCATTAAGTCCACCCTGGCTGTGTTTCATGAATCATCACATGCTTTTTGTTCCATCGTCCTCTCACTGATGAAATTTAATTTTATGCAAATGCATTTATACGCAGTTGTACAAACTGGCATGTCCTAAAGTCCACCCTCCCCCAGTGTGCATGGACAAAAGCAAGTAAGCAAAGCTTATTTTCTATAGAATGCAAATCATCAATATAAATTGATTCTGTATCAAGTCCCTCTTTAAGAGACCACTTAAGAAATTGATATAGTCCCTTGTACCAAGGGGAAAAATAAGTTGCATTTTGTTAGTCTGTCTCTAGTCTTCATCACTGCCTGTCCGGCTACCCATCTTTCTTACTCTCTACCAAATCATCAAGTACAAGTTATAAAAGTTATCAGAAGCTTAATATGCCTCTGAACTGGTTTTAATGAATCCCTGACTTCTTAAACAGAATATGAACATAATGGCTGATTCTACAATATTACCCACCTTATATTTTTGGACTGGATTTAATCATAATGCAAAGTAGACCCACTGAATTAAATGGGACTTCTCATTCATTCCATGCTAAGCATGACTAAGACTGGACCTCACCCTTCTTTTCCACTATTAAAGACAACCTCATTTTGAATGCAATTGCTAGGAAAAGAGAACCTATCTTTTTAAACCCCATCCGAGAACTAATCTATTGATCCACTCCTAACTTAGACTTGACATATCGTTCCAATGAGAGTGCTTCTTTGGCGGGAGAGAGACAGCCAGCCATGAGATCATGAATGGTGGAGTTTAAATGTGCATAATGGAACCCAACAGCAACATTACCTGAATCGAGGAAGAAAAAGAAGGTTCCCAAGAGAGTCAAGTATTTTCTTGCTTTAGAACTGGCTGTCATCTTGGAGCTCATTGATTCTTTGAGGCAACTTGATAGAGAAGCTGTTCCCCCTTCTTTCTTATGACTGAGAAGATGGAAAGTGAGGCAGGCACCTCCTGAACCCCTTTTCACCCACCCTCCCCCAACACGTGATGTGTGTGCATCACTTTGAATTATGTCCTTTCTGAACAAAGCAAGGGATTGGGGTTTTTTTTAATTTTCTGTAAAATGTAGACTGCAGCCCATGAGAATGTGAGAACATGGTCTAGGGCTCCCTCCAGTGGCTAAAAATATAAAAACAAGACAATTCTGTGCTCAGAAGGAAAAAGATGGCAGGGGGAAATCTCTCAAATGGTTTTCAAAACACCTTGAGATTTCATTCAAACAGTTTCCAGCTCTCTCACAGTATGAACAGCTCCCAAATTGCTTTGGGATAAGGAGTTTGTGGACCACAGCAGCATCCCCAGGCCAACTTGTTCCTCACTTCAGACACCAAATACTAATAAAATGGCCTCTCACTTGAATTGAAGCATCTCATATAATAAGCACTGCTGGCTGAGGATTCTTAAAGTATAGATCAAATGTGTATGAATTTGGACTGGGGGCAAAACTGATCTTCAGCAATGCCAGGTTTTTCAGCATCTCTCCATCAGGTGGTTACAAAGATCCAATATCCTGTAGCACAGAGACCAGATCTGCTGTGTGAAAGTCTTTGTTTTTCTTTTCCTTCTGAGATGGGTCTAACCAGTTGTGGTTTTCTGCTCTTTTTAGAGGAATGCTTCCAAAGAGTCAGTTTTGCATTTGAATAATACCGCATGCAAAACATATGATAAATCTTGAAATGCTGGAGCTTGTTAAAAAGAGCAAATTGCAAG